GACATTCCCTGGGCCAGCACTGATTCCCTGAGCCCCAAACGTCCTGTATCTTTGACTCTCTGGCTAGAAGTACAATCCACACGCCAGGCATAGGCACAACCTTGGGTCACGGAGGTCTTGGTCGTCTTACCAGCCTGCCCAAGGGTTGGGGGTGCCTTTCCTGCACTGCGGCTTGGTTGCCTGGTAGGAGCTTGCGTCACACAGACTGAGCTGGTGGTCTTTGGGAAGCTCACCTAAGCCCCTGAGTTCTTTTCGGCCGTAGAAGAAAATGAATGGCTTTCTCCCTGCGGTTTGTAGTCCAGTAAGTAGGTTCAATAGTGAGGAGTCTGGGCTTCCCTGGTGGTTCAGACGGTAAAGAATCCGCCTGCAATGCAGATTCATTCCCTGGGTCAGGAAGATCCCCTGGAGGAGGAAATGGCAACCCACTCTAGTATTCTCGCCTGGAGAATCCCATGGATGGAGGAGCCTGGCGGGCTACAGTCCATGGGGTCACAGAGTCAGACACGCCTGAGCCACTAACACACACACTCAGCAGTCTAGGTTCCCAGTCTGACACCCACTTGCTGCGTGAGCTTTAAGCAGTTGCTTCACCTCTCTGGGCCTTGGTTTATCTGTACAATGGGTAGAAGCCCCTTGAGCGGCTGCGGAAGACGGGAGGAGGCCGTGATGAGAGACGTGGGAGGGTCAGTAGCCTTGTTCCTGGGTCGGCGCCCCTGGGGGAAGCGGATGCCCCGCCCAGAGCAGATTTCCTAGAACCGCCGGGCTCCCAGAGGCCAAGCTCCGGGGCAGGGACAGAGAGGGACCGTCCTGGCTGCTGGACCTGCCCGCCCTGCATGTCCAGCGGCTCTTTCGAGGCCCACAGCTGTCCTCTCCAAGTGGCATCTCGGGCACAAAGAGCAGCAGAGGGGGTAGGGCACGCAGGCCCACTGTTCCTGGCCCAGAGCAGCAGCTGAGGGCCATGGGGGCGGGGAGGTGCTTCCTCTGACCTCTGCCCTCCCCCAACAGCTCTTCAGCAGCCAGGCCCATCCCTACGGGGCTCAGAGCCCCACCAGCAACACCTGCGTGGTGTGGAGTCCCCTGCCCCCACCCCGAAGGACCCTTTATCAGGGGCTGCTGCTGCTGATGCTGCTAAGTCACTTCAGTCGTATCCGACTCTGTGCGACCCCATAGACGGCAGCCTACCAGGCTCCTCCATCCATGGGATTTTCCAGGCAAGAGTACTGAAGTGGAGTGCCATTGCCTTCTCCGATCAGGGGTTAGACGGAATAATAAATTTGGAGAAGGGTGGCTCCAGGGACCTGGGGGCCGGACACCTGGGCCCTTGAACATCAGGTCACACCTCACAGCACCTACCTGCTGTGTCAGGCATCCACGTGGACTTGTCACCAGCCTCAGTACCCCCCGGAGGTCACCCTGTGGGTCCCCCTTTTACTGACGCAGAATCTGAGGTTCAGAGAGGTGGCCTGGGACAGCAGGCTGGGGACCGGCAGAACCAAGGTGTGAACCCTGACCTGCCCGATGCCAGTGCCAGGGTTTGAGTGGGGGTAAGGCAGATGCATGGGTACCCGGGGGGGCGTGGCCACACGCTACCCAGAAAAGCCCCGGGTGGACTGATCCCAGGCCTGGCAGAGCTCATGACCTCCATGACCTCGGCCAGTTCCAGGCAGCGGGGGGACGGCAGAGCGCCCGCAGCCCCTGCTTTTCAGAGCTGTGCGTTCATAAAGAGAAAGGAGCACGGGGATGATGACTCAGGAAATCTGCTGTCCGAGGTCAACGAGAAGCTCGTAATGATGGTGATTAAAAATCAACACCACTGACTGTACAGTGATTTGCACGTCCACTGTGCAGCCATGAATTAATTAATAAATGAAAACACAAATGCTGGGGTATCAGCTCTAGGGCACAGAAGAGGAGATGGGAGGTTCCAGAGGAGACAGGCCAGAGCTCCCCTCACCCCCGCCCCAGCCCAGCACCCTCCCCCAGGCATTGCCAGAGTTCCCCTGGCCTGGGGCTGGCTTTTTATCTTTGCACAATCCAAGGTCCACTCCAGAACCCTGAGGGAGGAATATAAATGGGGGTGCGGGGTGGGCAGCTTCCCTAGTTCTGAGACAGAGAAGATGCGAAGGGCCTGCCAGATGGGAGACCCAGATCCGACTCTCAATTCTTCTCCTTCTTCTTTTTTTTAATTATTTATTTAACTAGGCAGACTAATTGATGGATATTTTCCGAACTCTTGCTTAGAAAATTCCATGGATGGAGGAGCCTGGTGGGCTACAGTCCATGGGGTTGCAAAGAGTCAGACACGACTGAGCGACTTCACTTTGCTTACTTTAGGTCATGTCCAACTTTTTCTTTACTTTTTTCTTGGCTGCGTGGCATGTGGGATCTTTGTTCCCTGACCAGTGATTGAAGCCACGCCCCCTCCAGTGGAAGTGCTGAGTCTTAACCTCTGGACCACCAGGGAAGTCCCCCCAACTCCCAGCTCTGATGCTCATTAGCTGTGGGACCTTGCCAATCGACCAACTTGCCTGCTTGCTTATTTGCGCCTCTGTAAAAAGGGTGAGGAATTGCGGAAGCTCGGTCTCCAGGTGGGAAGATGTTTCCTGAAGCTGCTGTAACAAATGGCCACAAAGGTGGGGGTTTAAAGCAACAGAAATTCACTCTCACTACTGAGGTGTCAAAGGGCTTCCCAGGTGGTGCAGTGATAAAGAACCCGCCTGTCAATGCAGGAGATGCCGAGGATGCAGGTTCGATCCCTGGGTGGGGAAAATCCCCTGAAGGAGGAAATGGCAACCCACTCTCGCCTGGAGAATCCCATGGACAGAGGAGCCCAGTGGGCTACAGTCCATGGGGGCGTGAAGAGTCAGACACGGCTGGGCACACACGGCACACACGTATGGAGGTGTCACAGGTTGGTTCCTTCCGGAGCCCCTGCAGGAGGAGTCCCTGGTCCTCTCCTGGCTTCTAGTGGGGGTGACCTCCCGTGGGGTCCCTTGGGCGCCTCCAGTCTCTTCCTGGCTCTCGAGGCATCTTCTCTGGGGCTCTTCTGCATCTCAGCGTCTCCAGCCTCCCTCTTTTCTCTTATAAGTACACCCATCATTGTGTTTAGGACTCACCTAAACACATCCTGAATTCCAGGATGATCTCACCTTGAGATCCTTAATTTAATTGCGTCTTCGGAGACCCACCCAGTTTCCAAATAAGGTCACAGCCACAGGCAGGAGAGGTGAGGACTTGGAACATCCTGGAGGAGTCCAGGCAGCCCACTCCAGGGGGATTTGGAGACGCCCACATCCTGCATGCACAGTGCTGTCAGCCACACCGTGCTAACGTCGCAGGGCAGCGGGAGGAGGGAACCCACTTATGTCACCCTGCCTACACCTTCTGGGGTGGGGGCGGTGGGGGGTTATATCCAACTTACCATCCGCGAGGTGGTCTCCCAACACTGCGTTCTCCAGGGTGCTGTTCTCCTAGCCTTGAACGACCTCCCCGCAGGCAGGCTTCACGATTGAAATGATGAAGTCTTTTCGGGCCACCAAGGTGCTGGGAGGCGCCCCCAAAGACGTCTCCAAGACCATAATTATTATTTTGTACCATCTGCGAGGTGGTCTCCCAACACTGCGTTCTCCAGGGTGCTGTTCTCCTAGCCTTGAACGACCTCCCCGCAGGCAGGCTTCACGATTGAAAAAATAAAAAACAAAAAACAGTCCTAAAAGGCGTGCCAGGTCCAGGGCCCACAGGTCCACCAAACCGAGGCCCTGACCTTGCCTTGCCCTAGCATGAAGCCCCACGCCCCTGCTCTCACACTGCTGACCACGCCCCATCATCACCAGACCCCCCCGGGCCCTGCACGGTGAGCGCCCCTCTTGGCACCTGTGCTTCAGTTCACCTCCCGCCCTTCTGTGGGAGACCTGTGCTGGGGAAGTCTCCCCTAGACTGAAGGCAGGGACTCAGTCCTCTGTTTTGGGGTCCCCAGTTCCTGGCACAGAGATGCTCTGGGGTGTTTATGGGGAAAGACCTGTTTGTGAACCGCCCCCCACCCCCCCACAATGGTGACCATCTTCCCAGCAGTGTGTCCTTGTCCTTGCCAGGTCTTTCTGTTCCCCACGCGCCCACCTCCCTGCCAGGTAGGCGGGAGGAAGCCCGCCGTGGGCCCGTGTTCACAGATGAAGATGTTCTGGAGGCACCGGTCAATGTACGTGTCTAGGGCCCGAAGAAGCAGGGCCCCGACCCCGGGGACCCTCATTCCACCTCCCACAGGCTCCACCCCAGCCCTCTGCTCCTCGGGTGTGCAGCTGGCAGGAGCCCAGAGCTCTGGAGTCTCCTGGATCCCGTCCCTGCCCCTCCCCTCCCCTCCCGGGCTCCAGGGGCCTATCTCTCTGTTTCCTTTTCTGATCGGAGTTCAAAACAACAGCAACAACTCTGGGAGCGAAGGCCACGCAGAAACAAAGCCAGCAGGCTCCGTCTCGTTGGCCCAGCGGGGCTGCGGGGTGCTGCCAGCCTTGCCTGTTCTGTCCAGCAAGGAGGGCGCAGCCTGGTGGAGGGGGAAGGCCGCGGGGGCCAGAGCAGCAGGAGGTGGAGGCCGGCCCCGGTTAGAGTCCTCAAGTGCTCCTTTGAGAGCCTCTGCAGACGTCCCCGGGCCTGGGGGCAGGGGTGGTGTAATGATCATAAAACAACATTTGCATAGAGATTTCGTGTACAAAGCGCTTTCTCAGGGGCGGGAGGCACGCGGGTGGCCCGCGGAATCCGGGCTGGGAGGCCGCGGCCCCTGGTAGGGCCCGCTCGCCCGCCCGCCGCGGCCGGCTCGGGATTGTGAGCCGGGCGAACAAAGCGCTATTCATTCAAAGATTTCCGATTCCCCCGGATTTCTTCACCCTGCTCTCGGGTGAAGAGCTCGCTCCTGCTTGTCACTCAGGCCGGAGGAGGGGTGTCAGCGGCCCCCGCAGGCGGGGGCCTGATGGCAGGGAAACCGGGAGGCGGGTGTCCCCCTCGCCCTCCGGCTCCCAGACTCCAGCTCCTGTGAATCAGAGCATCAGGGCGGCCTCGCTGGGGCTGGCTTGTGCAACTCTCCTCACAGCTCACACCTGCGGCCGTGCCTTCACGTGAGAAGTGTGAACCCGGGGCGACTTCGCTGGAGGCCCAGTGGCTAAGACTCTGAGCTCCCGTTGCAGGGGGCTTGGGTTCCATCCCTGGTCGGGGAACTAGATCCCACACGCTGCAATCAAGACCCGGTGCTGGGCCCACAAAAAACACAAACAAAGGTGAACACAGCACAAACCTGAACACAGATTTGGGGACATCTGCGTGTTTGGTAGCCTGCAGACGAGCAGTGTGGGGGGCCTGGCTCGTCCCTCCCCAGCAGTGCGCATCGGGAGCGGGTCTTGTGTTTCCGGGGTGGGGTGTGGGGCCCCAGGCTCTGCGCCTCTGCGTGGGGCAGGAGCGGGAAACAGCAGCAGGGCGCGGGGGTGCAGCCCGCCGAGGGTGGTGGTGGGGCCTCCACAGTGCCTGACCCTTTAAGGCCTCCGAGGAGCTATATAATAAGGTCCACCTTGGAGGCCTGAGCGCCTTTCTGCAGCCCCAGCAGGGCAGGGAGGATGCAGGAGGTCATCGCGGGGCTGGTCTTCGCCTTCGAGAAGGATGTGGAGACGCAGAAGGGCACTGGGCTCCTGCCTGTCCAGGGCATGGACAGTGAGTGTGGCCGGAACCCCGAACTGCCCCCCACCGCCCCCAGCTTCCTCTCAGCTGCTCACCAGGGAGGTGTAGGAAGTCTCGGGCCCACCGTCCTGTCCGGGACCCCCAGTGTAGCACCTTGCTTCTCAGGTACCCCCTGTACCCCCTTACATCCACTCCAGGAAGCCATAAAACAGGACTGGCTGCTGGGAAAGCGGAGACCCTAGAGGGGTCAATTGAAAGAAGCTGGGACGACCCCATGGGCTGCCCGAGTGCCAGGCCAGCCTTGGGCCCCCTGTCCATCATCTCCGCTACAGAGTTCAGGGCGCTTAGCTGTTGAGTCTGCAGGCTGGTTCCCGGAGGCCAGCATCTAGAGGCCCCAGCCTTGGGAGGCAGGAGGGAGACGAGCTGGTGGGGTGGGCAGGGGGTGAAGGCCCTCCGGCAGCCACAGCATTCCCTCTGCCTTCTTCGCCCCCAGAGTCGGGCGCAGCTGTGTGCACCTTGTTTGCTAAAGGGCTCTGCGCGAAAGGTGAGTGGGCAGAGGTGAGGGCTGGCAGGGGTTCAGCTTGGCCTGGACTGGGGTGCTAGATTTGCATGTGAGGAAGGGGAGGTGGGAAGGGGCATGAGTTCATTCTCAGGGCAAAGGGCAAGTGGGTGGGGCCATCAAGGGAGCTACCCCCTACCTCCAGGGATGTCTCTGACTCCATAGCATTGATTAGGGCAGGTACAGCTGCCTGCAAGGAGACAGTCCCTTCTTTCTGCCCTGCTGTAGGTGGGAGTGTTTGTGGGTGTCAAGTGTGTGCTCCCAGAAGGCCCCTGAGTTCTTAATTCTGCCCCAGTCAAGAGAGGGGCTTCCTTCCTTCCCCTCCCTACCCCCCATCCTCTGAGTTAATCTGGGACCTGTTCAGCGGCCTCCTCCACTCCTGTGTCCTAAGAAAGCGCAGGCTGCAGTCTCAGAAACTTCTGTCTCCCCCAGCCCAACGGGGCCCAATTGTGTGCTCTTCCAAACCCCTCTCCCCGCTCTCCCAGGGCAGACATTCTGCGAGCAGGGGCTGACATAAATCAGGGGTTCCCGTCTTCTGGCTTCTAAACCACTCACGGGCTCTTTCTATGGAAATCCAGTTGCCCCCAGAAGTCTTGCCTCCAATTTGGGGGTCTCCAGTTGCCCTCTAGAGAGCCAGGTTGAGAAACCTGGAATGAGTTTAGGACCTGCTTTTAGGATTCAAGTGATTCTGTTCCAGGGAAGCTGGGAGGCCAGGTGGGGCCAGGCAGGGGACCGGGAGCCTGTGTGGCCACGTGACTAGCTCATGTTTGGGGCAGTGCTGGACAGTGGGGTGTGGAGGAGAAATGAACTTGTTGGTCACTCTAGACTTTGAATCTTTGGCTCAGTCCATCCAGTCTCTAGAGCAGGGTTTCACGGAGAGACCCTCATGCAAAGAAATAAAACTGTTCTTAGGTCTGGAAGGTCAGAGCCAGGTGACCCAATGGCCAGAGGTAGAGTAAGACCATCAGAGAGAACACCTCCGCACCACCCCGAAGATGCTACCAGAGTTGGCTCAGCGCAACACTGGTCCTGTTTCCTGCCGAAGGCAAGGCCGCCTGAACGAAGATGACAAAGAGCGAAATATAATATTTCCATTTCCTTCTGAATTGTTACAAGGTTGGCTCTCACGTCACCATGTTAGATCTCCGGAACCAGGAAACACAACGTTTGTTATTATTTTTAAGACCTGAGTTCCGCAGGCCCTTAAGGAGTTTTTCCTTTGTGCTGGGACCTTGCTGGGTTGGGGCTGGAAACTGCCCCCCCACCCCTGCACAGTCTGGCTGGAGGGGATGGGGTGTGATGGGTGCTTCAGGAGGTGTCCTGATGCCCTGGGGGGGCATTCCTGGGGTTTGAGACAGGCCAGAGCATCACGTCGGGCAGAGAGGGCTGGGGGCTGTCTCTGGAGCAGTCTCTGGCCCCCAGTTCTAGCCTCCGTCAGGGGAAGTGACGGTGGTACCTCCTGCTAGGGCTGAACTGGGCCCAGGCTCTGGGTGTGCGGGGGCCCCCTGCCGGGTGCTCTGGGTTCCCAGGGAAGTTGTGCCCATTCCGGCACGACCCTGGGGGAGAAGACGGTGGTGTGCAAAAGGGTGATCAGTGCAAGTTCCTGCACTAGTATGACGTCGCCAGGATGCCCGAGTGCGTGCCACTTTACTTCAAGTTTGGTGGGTGATGCCCCTTCCTGGCGCCGCCCCCCGCCCCGAGGAGGGGGAAGGAGGTTTGGGAAGGGCCGAGCGTCCCAGGTGGCAGACCAGGCCACCCTGCTTCTCCAAGCCTCTAGAAAAATCGGACCTGTCTTCTGAACCCTGCCCCACTGCCCTGCCAGGCTCAGGCACATGAAGCCTGTCCCCCCCCCCCCCCCCCCCCNCCCCCCCCCACCCCGGCCCCGACCCAGGGAAGGGGAGGGTGGGGCGGGAATCAAAGGCCGAATTGTTCCCCAGGCCCGTCTGGCTAATCACACAGCCAGACTTGCTGTCTGGAAAGGAGGCGGTCTCTGGAGCCCCGGGGAGGGTCAGTGCCAGTGTTTCCCAAACAGCCCACACTTTCACGGTGGGGCTGGACGCCCCCATGGGGCACCTGCCCCATCGCCGCCTCTTTGAACCCTCTCGCTATTTTTCACTCCTTTTAGAAGAAAGCTTGACATCGCTTTCCTAAACAGAAAACAAACGTCGCTGATTGGGGGCTTCCCTCGTGGCCCAGTCAGTAAAGAATCCCCCTGCAGTGCAGGAGACCCGGGTTCGTTTCCTGGACGGGGAAGGTCCCCTGGAGAAGGAAACGGCAACCCACTCCAGTGTTCTTGCCTGGGGAATCCCGTGGACAGAGGAGCCGACAGTCCATGGGGCCGCAAAGAGTCAGACCCAACTGAGCGACGAAACCACCGCGGCATCACCGATTAGCTGTGGAGGGTCCCTGTGAAGGGGCAGTCATGAGCTTCAGAGGTTCGGCCCCCTGAAGGGACCTTGTGTGGTCTGCTGTGGACCCGAGAGTCACCTCCCTCTGACCGCAGTCTTTCTCTTGCCGTCCGAGGGGCCATGCCGGGGGAAGCCACCGCCTCCTTCAAGAATGGGATCTGTGGATATGTTTCAGGTCTTAGCTCTCCCGATAAACGTTTACAGTTCAGGGCTTTTCAGAGCTGGAAGAAGCCTTAAGGGTTAGCTAGTCCAGTGGTTTTCAAACTGTATTCGGAAGAGGGACTGGGTTGGGGGGGGGGTCATCCAGCCTCCAGGGACACCTCTGAGCCAGGTGGCTGGGCTTTGAGCCGTCAGGGCGGCTGCAGGCAGCTGTCGCTCATTAGTGTTGATGGGGTGGGGGTGGGGTCCTGGGTATCCAGGAAGAAGGCATCCCCCTCAAGGTCAATAAGAGCTTCCCTCAGGCTCAAATCCTGTTTCCTGCCTGCTCCCGGCCAGCGCTGGCAGTTCGTGAGGGCCGCCACGCGTGGCCCTTGTAAGAAAGGACCAAGTTTATCCGGCGCCTGTCCCCCTCGGTCATCAGTTAAAACGACACTTCATTCTTTTAATAAACCTTGCCTGGTTTCCTTCGGGGAAAGAGGCCGTGCTGGGCATGGATTTGGGAACAGGACCAGGGCCCTGTCTGGCCTCGAACAATTCCCAGCGTGAGGGCGTGTGTGGACACCAGGGTTGTGATGTGTAAGCCATGTTTTTTCTTTTTTGGTTCTTGGAGTAAATGAATCAATGTCGCTATTAGATAAAGTGTGCTTATCACAGTGTAATTATTGGTCTATACTGGAAGGAATGGTCTTACTTATAAACGATTGTTGGGGAGATGTAGCAGCGGGAACTGGCCGCTGAAAGGAGCTAGGAAGCGGGGGTCCTGGCCCTGCAAGGGGATGCGTGCCCACCCCAAAGGCACCAGCCGCGCGGGCCGGCCGACGGCAGGGCGGGGTGCGGGCGCCACCTGCTGGCGGACAGAGGAACGGACAGCCGCACCAGGGCGGCGCGGAGCAGGCCGCTCCGGGCAGAGGCCTCGCGGCGCGTCCCTCCGCCCCTGCTCGCCAGTCCCGGGGGCCACCTCCCTTCTTCCGAAGGATGCAGCCCCGAGGGAGCGCTGTGCCGAGAGCCCACGCGGGACAACTGCATGCACACCTTTCAGTGAGAGGAAGCCGGGTGGGAATGGACCTCAGGAGGAGGTCTCCCCGTCTCGGAGCCCCGCTGTCCTCCTCTGTGAAATGAGAGGACTGCGAAAGGGCGGGGGTTGAATTCTGGGGAAGCCATGGCGTTCTTAGGAGCTCAGGCGAGACCTTGCTTTGCAGAAGCCCGAGGTATAGAATAGACCTGTTTGGAAACCAGTGGGATTGACACTGTGGTGTTGCTTTTGGCCCTGAAAAGCACGAAGCTGCAGGCTTTTTTTCTTTCTTTTTTTAAGTACAGTTGATGTACAATGTTGTGTTAGTTTCAGGTGTATAGTCAAGTGATTCATTCATATATATATAGACTTTTTTCAGATCTTTTTCCATTATAAGTTATAAAAAAATATTGAGTACAGTTCCCCCATACTATATAGTAGGTCTCTGTTGGTTATCTATTTCACACATACACACACACACATAAAACAAAAAAACCTGTGAAAAATGCCGTTGGTAATTTGGAAGGGCTTGTGTTGAATCTGTAGATTGCCTTGGATGCAGTGTGTTGTGCTGAGTCGCTAAGTCATGTCCACCTCTTTGCAACCCTGTGGGCTGTAGCCCGCCAGGCTTCTCTGTCCATGGGATTTTTCAGGCAAGAGTGCTGGAATGGGTTGCCATTTCCTCCTCCAGGAGATCTTCCTGACCCAGGGATTGAGCCTGTGTCTCCTGCATTGCAGGCGGATTCTTTACCACTGAGCCGTCGGGGAGATCCTTGCCTTGGGTAGTACAGTCATTCTAACACTACCGATTCCTCCAGTCTAAGCACATGGTATATCTTTCCTTCAGCTTGTGTCATCTTTGATTTCTTTCATCAGCATCTTCTAGTTTTTGGAGTGCTACAGTCTTTTGCCTCTTTATATAGGTCTATTCCTAGGTATTTTATTCTTTTAGATGCAATGGTGAATGAGATCGTTTCCTTAATTTCTCCTTCTGATCTTTCATTGTTAAGTTGTAGGCTTTTAAGGAGGATGAGATTGGAAACACTCCCCAGTTCTCTACTTGAATGAGGTGAAAAAAGGGCTGAGTCTTCCCCCTTGGTTCCTTCAGAGCCCCTGAGGCCTTATGCGGAAGCTGAGAGGGCTTAGACTCCCTCCCCAAACTCCTGGTGGTCTGTGCCACAAGGGCTGGCTCCTATTAGGACCCAGTTTTGGTCGGATCCACAAACAGACGGGGTTACAGCGCACGCTCCGAGAAACTACAGGTGTCCCTCTGGGTCCCGTTCATTTCATCTCTGTGCCAACTTTGAAGCAGTGCTCTTGCGGCATCTCCCCTAGAAAGGACTGTAGGTGCAGGAAGCCTTGTAGGTTTCATCGTAGAGATGAAGCTTTAACCATGGTACAGGGCTTCCCAGGTGGCGCTAGTGGTAAAGAACCTGCCTGCCAGTGCAGGAGACGAAAGAGACGTGGGTTTGATCCCTGGGTCGGGAAGATCCCCTGGAGAAGGAAATGGCAACTCACTCCAGTATTCTTTCCTGGGGAATCCCATGGACAGAGGAGCAAGATCTCCATGCAGGGTCGGGGTCTTGCTGGATCTCTAGCTGCTGGCTAGGGGTCTTCTCTTCCCACCTCTCCTCGTTCCTTCTCCCAAGTAGCCTCTGAATACCTGAGTTCCAGTCCCTCCTTCTGAACATCTGGCTCTGCCCCCCCTCCTCCAGATGAGTGTATTCATACCCAAGCCTCACTGAGCCAATATGCATGGGATCCGCCTTTCTTAGCTTGCAGGAGGGAGGAGAAATTTCTTGCTGTCCTCAAAAAAGCGCTGTCCCCCAGAAGGCAGGCAAGTGGCCTATGTGCAAGGGGCAGGGGCAGTCTTGTTCCAGGAGGGTGGACATGACCTCGAAGATGAGCCCACTTGTGCACAAAGAATGCTGAGATTTTCAGGGGACTGCAACAAGGAGTGTCCCTTCCTCCACATGAAGCCGGCCTTCAAGACCCAGGACTGTCCGTGGTACGACTGAGGTTTCTGCAAACACGGTGAGGCACAGGAGATGTGGGGGTGTCTCCGGCAGGGGAGGGATGCCCCTTCCTGATGCGGCCTGTGGTCTCTGCCCCTCCCCCTGGCTAAATAATATCCTTCTGGCCGTTTTCTCTTTGCCCAGTAGGTCCTCTGTGTAAATACCAACACGTCTGCAGGACAATGTGTACTAACTACTTAGCCGGCTTCTGCCCCGAAGGACCCAGATGCCAATTTGCACAGTGAGAGAGACCAACCCGACCCCACACCCCCAGCCCCCCCTGTGCTGGGCCCACTCTGGCTTCTAGAGCCTTCCGTACCTTCACTGGCCCGAGGTGGCGAGTGAAGCGTCCGGCCAGCATCCACCCGTGAGGTTCTCAGGGCGTGGCTCCCCCTGCGCCCACCTCTCCTTGGTCCTGCCGGCCGCGCTGAACTCTAACACGTCCTGTTAGTGAATATTCAGGCCTTCCCTGTGGGGTTCTGAGAACACACAGTCACAATTGGGGCAGCAGGCTGGTGTAGGGGGTGTTAGTGAGCTGGCGGGGGGGAAGCGGGGCTTAGAGCCAGGCTGTGGTTGTCCGTCTCTGCATGCCTCCTTCGGTCCCAAGATGAATGGTTTATTCAAGTTACCTGGCGGTGAGTGCAGGTAGGCCGGTGGGGGCGGTGGGTGGGGTGTGGTTGGGGGGTGGTGGTGACGCGCTCACTCCTTTCCAGCACGCGGACCCCTCAGCCCTGCACCGTTCCCACCTGCTCTCACCCTCACACCATCTGCTCCCATCAAGGGAAAGGCGCTCATTCGGGATCCTTCCTCCCAGACCCCCTCGCACCTGTCATCTCTGCTTTAGGCAGGCCATCTCAGCCCCTGAGACCTTCCCCCTCTTTGGCTGGATTAACACACTAGTGGTTTTTTATTTAGAGACTTATTTTTATTTTTGGCTGTGTTGGATGTTTGTTGCTGTCTGCGGGTCTTCTCTAGCTGTGGCACGTGGGGGCTTCTCTTCATTGTGATGCGCAGGCTTCTCATTGTGGTGGCTCCTCTTATTGCAGAGCCTGGGCTCCAGGCCGCAGGTAGTTGAAGCCCTTGAACTCGAGCTTGGGTTCAGTAGTTGCAGCGCACAGGCTTAGCTGCCTCACAGCATGTGGGAACTGCCCAGAGCAGGGATCAAACCCATGTCCCCTGCATTGGCAGGCACATTCTTAACCACTGGGCCAGCAGGGAAGCCCCACACATGTGTAGGTTTTAAGGAAAGAACCTGGGGCCAAGCTGAGACTTTCTGGTCCAGAGCTGTTCTGCGTCAGGGCCACCCTGCTGGTGCCTGGCCCCGTGGGAACGGGTGCTGCTCCCCTGATAACATGCCCTGATGATGAGGGCCTCCATCCTGGGTCACCAGTCTGAGCAAACTCCAGGAGATTGTGCAGGACAGAGAGGCCTGGAGTGCTGCAGTCCGTGGGCTCGCAGAGTTGGACACGACTGGGCGACTGAATGACGATCCCCAGGCAGCAAAGCACAGCCTGCGGGGCGAATCGGCCCCTTTGTCTGTTTCTGTACAGCCTGGAACCCTAAGGACGACTTTTTTTAAAGTCGTCTTTTTTCTTCTTGGAAAGAAAAAAGAAGAAAAACCCAATGTAGTATTTTTTGACACATGGAAATGAAAATTCCAATGCTTATAAATAGTTCCACTGGAGCGGGGCCAGGCTCGTCATTTACATTTCCTGTCTCTGACTGTGCTCACGCTTACGATGGCACGATGGCAGAGTTGAGTAGCTGCAACACAGACCAGATGGCCTGTGAAGCCAGAAATATTTACTGTTTGGGCTTCTGTAGAGAATGCTTGCTGGTCCCTGGTGGGGATGGCTGGATGCTGCTTAAGTTTGACAGAGGCCAAATGGGGAGCCTGGATGCTGGGGGAGCTACTGAACTGTTGTTAAGTCGGGGTTCTGTATCCAGTGCTGCCCTTTGTGGCTCAGTGCTAAATAATCTGCCTGCCAGTGCAGGAGACGTGGGTTCGATCCCTGGGTCAGGAAGATCCCTTGGAGAAGGAGATAGCAACCCACTGCAGTATTCTTGCCTGGGAGACCCCATGGACGGAGGAGCCTGGCGGGCCACAGTCCACGGGGTCCCAGAGAGTCAGACACGACTGAGCAAGAGGCTTCCCTCCCAAGCACCAGGCTGGGGTGGGGCCGGCAGGGAAGGAGGGCGACCCCTGCTGGTCCGCGGTGGGACGGCTGATGGCAGGGCGGACGTGATTGTCTGCACTGGGGAATTCATGGAGCCCATTTCTAACTTCCATCTAAAGGGATGCTTTCGGCAATTAAGCTGTAAAACGAGGCCGTTCAGAGTCTGGCTTCAGCCTGAACGCCTGGCCAGGCCCTCTGCCCTCCGCCCTGTCTGTACACGGGTGTGTCTGCAGTGTTTCCTCCTGGCTTCACTTTATCTGTAGCTTGTCAAGCAGCCCCTGGGTCCCGCACTTCCTCCTGCCTGGGAACCTCGCAAGCCCCGCTCCCTGACAAGAGTGTCTGCCCCCTCATCCTCAGATGAGGCCCCACGAGCCGGGGGTTGCCCCCTGCCTGGGGCTCAGGCGCTGGAGAGGGGCCTGTGCTACAGGGTGAGTGATGACGGAGCTGGGCCATTGCCGGGCTGAGGACCAGGGGAGGGGTGATTAGCAGCAGGTTAAGAAGCCAGACTCAGGTTTTGGTGAATTAAGAGAGAATGGGGCAATTTGGCTGGTAAACCAAATGTTTCAGTTTTAAGGTCTCAACCTTTATTTGCTTCCCCTGCCAGACAGTTTCTTTCTTTAAAAGGCTAACAAGTTAAACATCTTTCAGGCCCTGTTTTACTGCCTAATGATCCCCTGAGTTATTTATACATAATGGTCTTAAGATGTGGGGGGGTGGGGGTGGGGAAGGGGGCCGCTTGGTAAGGAAAGGAGTATCACACATCTTGCATTTTTTAAAGAATTCATTTTATTTTTGGCTGTGCTGGGTCTACAGCTGCTGCGAGCGGGGGCTCCTCTCTGGTTGCGGGGCTCCTCTGGGTGTGGAGCACAGGCTCTAGGCCCCGGGGGCTCAGCAGTTTCGCACACAGGCCCAGTGGCCCCGCAGCCTGGGGGCTTCCTTGATCCGGGGTTGGACCCGTGTCCCTGCATTGGCAGGCGGATTCTCAACCCCTGGACCGCCAGGGAAGCCCACACCTTGCCTTTCTTGGTTGCTCTCTCTGGCTCATCAGGAAGAAACCCATCATGTTTTACAGCTTCACGAGACAGACTCTGAATCCTCCTCTGCGTTCTGTTCTGCAAGACAACAGGAGCACCGGGATGAGAGGTGGGGGAGGCAGAGGGCTCGCCCTCCTCACGTGATGCCTGTCCGCCTCTTTGCGCGTCCAGCCCTGTGCTCTGGGTCAGCAATGCTGGGCCTGGATCTCGAGGCCTTTCTCGGGCCAGACAAGGAACTTCATTTAAGAGTAGAAGCCAGGCTCTTCAGTAAGCCAGCTAAGGATCTCCTATGGAGCCCTAGACAATTCAGCACTTTTTTCTCTTGGGATGTGAATTTACAAAAAGTCACATGCTTAACTTTTTCTCTTTTAGTGTTGAAAAATGAGCTGTGACGCCAGTCAGTCAGTCAACTGGTAGGAGTCATTAAAAAAAAAAAAACACACGTTGGTCTGGGGAACTGGAGGACCTTCTGTAGTGAAGACTCCAGAAGGCCGTGCTGGGCCCCGTCCTGAGCGAGCCCGCTGCCCCGTAACCAGCACAGAAGAGGCCGAGGCAGCCTGCTTCCCGCTTCCTCTCCTGTAAGTGAACGAGCTGCTGGAAACCCGGCAGGAGCGGGGGCTCGCCGAAGGCGGGGAGCGCAGCGCCTACACAGCCAGCTTGAAGGTACGGCGCGTGCGCACACACACACACACCACAGACACACACACAGACAAAGACACACAGACACAGACACAGACACACCACACACACACACACACAGACACAGACACACACACCACTGCGGCACACACACACACACAGACACACACACCACTCCGGCACACACACACAGACACACACACATCACTGCGGCACGCACACACACACACACACACCACTGCGGCACACACACACACAGACACACACACACACACACACNCACGCGCACACACACACACACGGCACTTCTGGGGCACGCAGCCGGAGCTGCTGCTGTAAACTGGCGATTACATCAAGTTCTTTTGCACGACAGCTGCTTCCCTGGACAGCTTCCTTAAATTCAGGATTCGATTCTGTGCTTATCTTATGTGAGGGATCACAGGGTAGGGAGTGGAGGCAGATGGTACCAACGAGGCTTGCCCCAGGAGGTGAGGAAGTGACGTGGGGCAGCGAGCACCCTGTGATCTATGCCATGTCTAAGTCAGCCCCCAGGGCAGCCTAACCCACGGGGCGAGGCCTGGGGATGCCAGGCCGGGCCCACTGGAGGAACAGAGGAGGGACGGTGTGGAAGGACCAGGCCCCCTGGTCTTGCAGACACAGGCAGCTGCCTCGTCCGGCTTGGTGGGAGGGGAGAGGGCGAGGGGCGAGGCCGTCCAAGAGGACGCTGGCCCAGGAGACAGCTCCTCCCTGGGCTGGCATGTGACACGTGGCGCAGAGCCAGATCACTAACCTCAGCCTGCAGCCTCTTTCTGGGGGAGTGTGACGGCCAATTCGGCCTCACTGGGTGGGCGTGGCCGGCCGGCAGGGGGCTTGGCTGATGGAAGCAAGTGCCCGGGTGGTAGCTGCAGTTTGGCTGGAAGGTGGTGGGGCCTCTTGCTGGATCCCANCTCTGGAAGCAGAAATCTAAGTGCTGCTGCTCACCCTGGGAAGTTCCCACCAACACGCTGGTTTCTTCACAGTAGTGACAAAAATGATCTCGACAGGTACCAAGTCCAGAAAGGCTCCTCCTGAAACGTGTCCCAGCCCCAAACGCTTTAGCGCGGACCCCCGGTCGTCTTCATCCCCCTACGCAGGAGCCCGAGGCGTCCTGCTGGCCCAGGGCGGGGGTCAGCAGGCTTTCCGTGGAGGGCCAGAGCGGAGCCGCGTTCAGCTCTGCCGCTGCAGCCGCAGCCAGCACCTGACCAACAACCCAGGCTGGGTCCCCGAGACCTCACGTGCGGACAGGCCCACGCCGGCTCAGGCCTGTGGGCTCTCGTGGTCTGCTGACCCTGCTGGGGCAGGAGAGGACCCTCGCAGAGGCTGTTCCCACCCACCTCTGCACCGAGCGGCTCTGACCCAGAGTGAGGCAGAGGGGGGCTGCCGGAGGGCCTCCCCGCCGCGCGTCTCTTCTGGGGCGTTTACAAAGGCCACAGAGCCCTTCCCAAAGCGGCTTCCAGTAACATTCTCAGTCACACTGAACTAACTACCTACCTCTATTTTACTTCTACCTCTACCATACTCTTCCTCAACTGTGAATTCTTCCTCGTGGAGAATTCCAGTACACCTTCTTCCTAACCAGGAAAATCTGATGCAGAATTAAATTACTCCCACTGGGGACAGTTAAGAGAGGGCGGGGAGGCAGGGGACTGAAGAACAGAAAAGGGAGATAAAGCCAGCATCGACTTCTGGGAAGAGAGGTGCAAATGCGTAAGAGCTGGCTTTACGACAGCACGCCTGCTTCCTTGCAGTTCTGGAGGAGTGGGGGCAAAAGGGTCTGAACGCGTGTTCTGGCCTGAGGATCACAAGCAAAGCAAATACAGAGGCTCACTGGTCCATCAATAGCAGCACATCTGTATCTGAGACATAATCAACCCTTGATACTGGAAAAGGATTGGAAAACCTTATCCATTTGTGTGATCTACATTAGATTTCCATGAAGCCTTCATCAGTATATCCAAGTTATCGTCTGGGGTCCAAAGCAGAAGTCGTAGAACGGGAACGACACCGAGTACTCTGACCAGGGAAGCAACCCCGAAGCCCACCCTCCTTGCACAGCCCTAACACAGTGGGAGGAATGTGCGAACATTTCATTCAGCTTCCCGGGGGCTGTAAGGGTGGGATTCTGAAACGCTTCCAGGAAGACATGAGAAGCAGAAACCACTTGCCCACTGCTACACTCACTGCAGATGCAGAAAAGGTGATTTAACATTCTGTGTAATGTGCTGTTTTAATCAGCTTAAAAAAAAAAAAACCACCTGCCAAGGATTTTTCAGAGGCTCACCTGCAACTCTGAACTCACTCTCTGCTGGTTCCTCACAGCTGCCGAGAGCTGGTCAAGGACCCAGAGGAGCCCACCCACCCCCAAGGGGGAAGGGTCTGATGTGAGCCGACTTCAAGCCACTTCAGATGCTCTTCTGAACCAGTATCCAGCAGAAATGAACAGCACGATGCCAAGATACAGACAACAGTTTTGGGGAGAAATGATTTAGAATTGGGATTATCTTTACCAGGAATTAGGAAACAGCTATTTAAAATGTTTAATGATGAACTCCTGTCATCTCCCTGTCTCCTTGAATAACATCCGCCTTTATGATTAAACAACCTCAAGTTTTTCTCCAAAAGTTTCAGTCACTTTTGAGAACAAGCCAAAAGAAATATCCAGAGAACCAGAGCTGTCCACATTAGAAAAAACAAAAACAAAAACACCTGGCTCCCCCCGGAATGGTTAGATTCCAGTAATTTTATTCTTCCGCTCCCTCTCCCTGCCCCCGGGACAGCTTTCCGCTCTTTAAGCGCGCTCTGCAGTGTCTCCACCGTCCTCGACTCGGAGCGCCAGCTTCCCCACGTGGCGTCTGGGTCAGCGCTGCTTACGCCAGCGCTGCAGCTCTTGGGATAAACAGAGACAAACATAAGGGTCTACGATGCTGTTCCCTGACGGCTTCTACCTCTTGCCCCTCAAGATCATCCCCTTGTATTTGTTTTATAAATTTAGAAATAAAGTCTTAGGTACAGGGGTAAGTTTCCGCCTCACTTTCCTCACTCTCAATTTAAAGATGTGAAGCAGAAACTCCAGCATCACCTGAACAGTCTCTTTTTCAGGGGAGGCTTTTTCCCTGGGAAAGAAACGACCTGGGATTTTAGGCACCGTGATCAAAAAGGAACTCCTTTCTCACGGATGGCCACGCATGTGAGACGAGGGTGGGCAGTCATGGCTGGCCAGTCGGGATGTGAGTGCCTACCACAGACGCGATCCACGTCGTGACTCATGCACGTCATTGCATGCATGTGACTGCATTAGTCGCCAAGCCCAGCTACAGTCAGACCCGACATTCCTGAAGCTTGTGAGTTCTACTGGCCTCTAGTGTTAATAATGACCTTACACTTTTGCACTGAAAGTTTTCATCTGAAAGCATTTGGATTTTGTCTGTTGTGGAAGAATACTGGGACTTTTTTGATTTCTTTAATACAATAATACTTTTTAAAAATGAGCAAACGTTATCTGGAATTAAAAGAGCAGTGAAATCTAGGCACTTTCCTTCTGGTAAGATTTGGAGCAAGTTGAAATGCATGACTAGAAAAAGGTGGTTTTTCTTTTTAATGTTAAAAGTAGATTAAATAAAACAGCTCTCAGCCTTAGACACACTGGCAAGTGACAGTTTGTTTCTCATCTCTTAGGGTATAAAGCTATTTGGTTTCTATCCTAAAAAGAAGTTCTGAGGAATCAGTCATCAAAGAGAAGAGCCCTGATCCTCCAACAGGCAAACAGCTTTAAGTAGAAAACACAAACGCACCCAATCTCCAGGGACCATCTTCAATGGAGCATGACAGCAGTTATGTAAACTCTAGTCAAATCTTATCAAGGCCATTAGAACCAAAACCTCCAATAAAAAAAAAAACCTGAGGGCCTTGGGCAATAGCTTGTTCATTAGGGCGTGTCAGACAATGCAAAACTGAAAAATAAAAAAGCAGTTCAGAAAATCCCTCAGAGGTGCATATCATGGGTTGTGCCCTGCTATTGAGGACAGAGCGAGGCTTACTCAGATGCTTGAAGCTCCAGCTGCAGCCGAGCACGAAGCAGCCGGCGAAGAGCAAGGTGAGGCCACCGACTCCGCTCCTCACCGTGGTGCGGCACCGGATCCAGCCTGTTGGCAGAGAAGCAGGGTTCACGTGAGAGGGCAGGCACCAGGCCCTTGCCCGCAAGGGACTCAAGGCACCCGGTCAGCTCAGGCAAAGGAGTCGCTAGGCGAGGAGTTTACATACTACTGTACTATATAGATGTGTTTTAAACAAATGAAAAGGCAAAACCCAGAAGACCTTCATTTTAATCAATTTCAATTAGTCACTCTTGTTTTGGGGAATCTGGTTAAGTTTCATGGGGAGGAGATGAATACAAGTGGTCTTGCAGCTGAGCCTTCCTTGCTTGGGGACCGTGAGTGTCCCCAAGAGGTGGGCAGGTACTGAAAAAAGTGAAACCTGTTTGATAAAGCAGTGCTTTAATTGCGTCAGACTCCAGGATGAAGAAAGGCGAGGAGGAAGATGGGAAGCTCGCAAGGCCATCCTTTTCTCATTCTTGAGCCGGGCTGTGACAGCCATGGCTGAAGGAAGAGAAAGTCTGGAACCACCAAGAGAGCCTTGCAGGCACGACTCGGGCCTCACCTGAGTGGAGAGCTCCTAGGAGCCTCGTGAGAGAGGAGCCGGCCGGGGCTTCCAAGCTCCTTACTGCCGTCGAGCTTCTTTCCAACCAAGGAACTAGGGTTCCAAACAGAAGTCACTGTGACAGCTCATCTAAATCCGTCCTCTTCCCCAGCGCTCAGTGCCCGAGGTCCCCAGGGCGAGGCTGCGGGAGAAGTACATGCTCAGTAGTGGGTGACAGTCTGCCCTGGGCTGTGAACATGTGAGCATTGGCGGCCAAACCACCTAGTCGGCGTCAAGAAAAGGTTCTTCGACAGACTAAGGGGCCCGAGGGATCGGGACCTGGATCATCTCTCATCCGATGAATACAGCACCCAGATGATCTCGTCTGCTAAACACCTTCTCAGCCAAGAGCACGGCCTGCTACTGTCATGGTGATTACTTGTTACTAGGGCCGACAGCTAACAGGTCTGCTCTATCAGCCCATCACCACTGCTGACCAGCACACGCTTCTTATTTATGTTCCATATGAGAATAACTAAAGCAGAACCAGGAAGGCAGGTTTCTGCTATGTACTTACATTTCCCCTGCTCTTGTGGCTTTCCATTTTTAATGATAGGCAGGGAATTTCTACTATTGCTGGTTCTCTGGTCTTGGTTTGGTTCATCAGGATAAAGTGTAAATTAAAACAAATATTTACAACTGGTTTGGCAGGTGTGGTGAAGTTGCTGCAGATGTAAAAATACTATGCAAATGATCACCTATTTATTAAAAATGACAAGAACCATGCTGGCTTCCCAGAAACCACACAAAAGCTATTTCTCTTGCAAGGTGAAGATTCTTTAGAAAACAAAGCATGACAAAACTCATCCAGCTCAGAAAAATGACACAGCTCCAAGAAAGCTGCAATGGCCCCACCTCTCTCCCTGGACTGTCAGGACCCCAGCGGCTCCCAGGGTTTTCTCCAGCCGGCGGATCCCGCTCGCTTCGTTCCGGGCCCAGGCACATAACGCGGATGACATCACTTCAGGCCTGCAGCTGGGATATGTAAGCAGCCCGTGGCTGCGAGCAGCCAGGCCCAAGCCCACACAGGTGCTGTTGGGGCTTTTTTCCATGACTCCCTGCCTACCACCCCGATGCTCTGGGTTCTGCCCCCCATCCCTGAGGAATGGTCATGAGCCTTGGGCGGCATGAGCCTTACGCACGGCCGACCTCCGCCTCCTATCCCTCAGACACTGCTCTGCACCTGCTAGCACCGACGTCCGCTCTTCAAATCCAGGGACAAGGCTCCCGTTGACACAGACGTCAAAAACCCGCAACCGCCATCTATGACTTAACTGTTCCAATCATCCCTCTGGCCTGGCTATAATCCCAGAGGCATGGTTTGACTCACCTCTCATGTCTCAGGATATTGGTTACTCACATGCGCTTTCCTTAAACACCCCCTTTAATGGGCTCCTCCAGTCAACAAGGGGACCCAGCCCCGGCCTGTCAGGCTTCTGCTCCAGTTCTGATCCCCACTGCTCCCCGCCTGTTCCCCACAGGCGCCCCTTCTCAAACCCCTTACGTGGACACCCTACTGATGGCAGTCCTGTTTGCAGGTTAGAGAAAAGCCTTTATTTAGCTGTTTCTTGGCCTTTGAAAACCCAGGACCCTACAAGGTCTTCCTATTTGACCTTCTGGTCTCCTCATCAGCCAAGTTTTGCTTTTTGCAGTTACACAAACTGTGTTTTGGCTTTTTCCCCCTAAACTACCTTCTCCCTGCCAGTGCGGGAACAGTCCACTGCTGGGTGCCAGGGGCCTGCATCAGCACCACCATCCAGAAGCTGTTCTCAGACATGGCTCATCTTCAGAGACACAGAGAAAATGCTTGGAAATAGGTTATGAGGCTTTACTTCAGAATCAGTCTCTGGGCATGACGGCTAGGAATCATGTAAAAAATGACCATGTGAAACCTGTCCAGATTTGGGAACTGAGATCTCTCAAACTTCCTGCCCCGAAGCCAAAGCACCGGAATTCTGCCAAAGGCCCAGCCGGCGCCCCCAGCCCAGCGCTCTCAAGGTGGCTGGTGGACTGCTGAGGGCTCTCAGACCCTGGACCTTGTTGAGTCTCCCGAGATTGAAATCTTGAACTTTTGAAATCCACTTTCTCTCAGGCCAGAAAACAACTCCTCCTGGTAGCTACATCCATGAGCATCTATCTCCCCGAAGTTCCAAAGACGGCTCCTCATGCCTGCGAATCCCACAGGCTCATCTCCCTCACTCCTGATTTACCGAAGCCCAGCTCGGGGGCACCCTCGGACCTCCACACCCAGGTCTCCAAACCCAGCCGCTGTTCTTCCGCCACAAAGAGCGTCTCACTCTACCCTGCTTCATCAGGATGAAGGCCCTGGGAGCCTTTCAGTCGGGGCCATCACCTCACCTCAGTCTGCTTGGGTACCTGACATGGGAGGGCTAGCTGTGCACTGGCGCTTCCCCCTGGAGGAAACAGTAAGTGACCACAGCCTGGAGCCCAGAGTCCAGCAGGAGAAATGCTTCCTGGAAATGCCTGGCAGAGACCCACCAAGTGAGCTCTGAGGCTAACTGAACCCTGGGCAAGTTACTCACCCGCTCTGAAACTCAGTTTCCTCGTCTGTAAAAGGGGATAACAGCCATCTCCCAGGACTGGCATAAGATCACTTAAGGTAACTGAGGCAAACGTGCAGGTACCCCAGCACAGTTACCCCAGTAACTTGTTACCCCACTGGCCCTGCCTTTAAGTACCAAAGGGATGAGCAGCTTCTGAGAGAGGAGGAAGGCTCATCTAAGGTCTCGCCTCACCCAGTCTGTATGGCCCAACTCTTCTGCAATGCTGCCTGCAACTTCAGCCTGCGGCTATCAGGGCCAGCCACTGCTGGGTGAGGTTATGAAGCTTTCTGAGAAGCCACACCCCCTTTTTAATCCCTGTAGAGTCCGTGGCCTTGAAGTCCTTGAGCAAATGACGAATTAAATTTTGACTTTAACTGAGGGGTCACCAGGGTCTCCTCTGGGGCCAGCCTGTTGTCCTGCCTTCAACTCTTGGTGGAGGGGAGGGGAAAATGAAGAACCACCCTTAAAACTGACCACTGGGAGCAGGAAGTCATGTTCTGAGAACAGTGACAAGTGCAGCACCCTGGAATGCGTAGGTACGAGGAAGAGGATGTTAGCGTTCTGAACCTCATTAACTCAGAAAGCACAGAGCCACCTGGACCAACTTAAACCTGAGCATGCTTACCTTGGGAGAGTCTCTTGCCCTGGGGACTGATGACAAGGAGGGGCTTCTGGGCAAGAGTGCTCCAATGCTGGAGCCTCTCTGGCAGCACCCCAAGGCCGAGATAACCAGAATAGAGCTCTGGAAACCACTCCAGCCCCAGGGCACTTGACAGGCTCTGACCGGGCAAGGGGCTTCTGGAAGCATGGTGCTGGGCTGAACATGCAGACTGCAGCCCCTGGGGGCGCGATGCTGGGGGCCGAGAGCCCAACTTAGCTGTCAGAGAAGCCCACTCCTCACCCCCCATCAACGCCTTCACAGCAGGGACTCGATTCTGGCTGCTGGCTTCTGCTTTCTCTTCCTGGAGAAATTTTACAGCCAGAGAGGTGGAATTCTGGTTACATGACTGCGCTAGAGGGAGGTGCTCAGGGCAAGTTGTGCCCGTTAGCGGGAGCAAGTGTAAGCCGAGACCTCTGTCTCGAGGTTTCTTCTCCGTGACTGAATCATGGCTCAGGGAAGCCCAATCCTGCCTTCCTGTCATAGATACACTTTTCTCCACACCTCCTTGGCTCCCATGTGTCTCTGCTTCAAGGTGGAGTGCTTTTCCCTGGTTCTTCCCGCCCTGGCTTTCACCTAAGGGGTTAAGTTTAAAAGTAGCAATCTGTGACTCTGTGTTCTTTGCCAGAGTCCTGAAGTCTCTGTCAGTAGAGGCTCCTAAGAGGTGATCCTTGGCCTTGGACTCTCTTTCTCTGCCTGACGATGACATATTTCCTCTTTGAACCCTGTGACTGCAATTCATGGGAGAACTATGGCCATCACCAAGAGGTGTATCCAACAATTTTACGAGAAGGTTCTGTCTTGAGGCGTCCACTCTGTCCAGCCTTAGATCAGCTGAAGTGGCTTGTGCGTCATTAAGGAAGGCTAAAGAATATTTCCTATCGTGATTTGACCGAGAAGGTGCCACTGGGACAGGAGGCAAAGGTGCTTCAATTTCTGAAGGGTTATCTCTACTTTCTCCTGACTGAGGCAAAGCTTTGGTAAGTTCTTTTGTAGAACTGGTGTTTTCTGACGCAGAAAACTGAGCTGCAGTTTCTCCCTGGAAAGGAAGCTTTGGTTTAGTAGCCTTTAACATTTTGAGGGAGGACTTAACTTGACTCTTGACGTCTTCATCAGCCTTTTTATGACTTGCTTTTTCCAAACCAACATCTAGTGCTGAAGAGGACTTGACTGTCCGTTCTGAATTGTTTCCTTTCAGTTCCGGATTTCTTTTCTTACTGTTTGTCCCTAACTCTTTCTCTTTTGCTTTAACTGGGTCTCTGATTGGCGCTTTGATTTTTTTAACACGTGGGTGTGTAGCTGGCTCACATGGATGAATTTCTTGATCAGCAGGCATAGTTGCTCCTAGCATCTTACAGTGCGGCAAGTGGGACTTCAATCGTTTAAATGGCTTCTTACAGTAAGGACACAGTTCCATCCTGGATGGAACAGCACTCTCCTATTCCTGAAAAAGACAAACACAAGGAGATAGGAAGCATACAGTCTGTAAATACTCATGCCTTAGTTAGGTGTCATACCTTTTAAATTCATTTGAAATAAGCCAGGCTGAAGGACATCTTAAAACATTTATTTTGATTCATTCTTTTTCTTCTATAGGTACAACAAAACAGAGTTGGATTTTAAGGTCAATGTTCCTGACTCCATTTCTGCTTGGTATTTCAAATTTTTTAACATCTTCTAGGAATCAATCATTACAAAAAACGACCAAAGAGGTTCTTCTACATCCCTAACTAGGAGGCGAGCCAGGCAAAAGGACTTAAATCTAGTGAATTAATAGTTAGTGGAAGGAAAAGGTGTCCAAAATGTCAGCCAGAATGAAATATTTGCTATTTAACTTTGTAGCAAGGCAACTGGATAACACATGAGTGTAAAGAAACTGTTATAAAACACATCTTTCAAGGGAAGAAAGTTAAAGAATAAAAGACCATAGCTGTATGTATAGAAAATCCACTGGGGTGCAAGAAGGTATTAGAACTTTAGGTAACCTCCATTACCTAAGCATGAAAAATGAGAATGCTACGAATGTTTAACACATTAGTAACATGCATGCATATACACAGAAACACAGAAGCACAGCTGACGTACGTAACACATAAATGGAGGGAACATGGTCCCAAATTTTTTACTCAGTTTGTAGGACAATGGATTAATGGGAAATCTGTTTGACACTTTTGTGAAATTTATGCCACATAAAACATTAAAAAACAAAAACAAACAAAAAAAACCCCCCTAAACCGGGACCTCCTTGGTGGTCCAATGGTTACAACACTGCACTTCTACTGCAGGGGGCGGCTGGCTTGATCCCTAGTTAGGGAACTAAGATCCCACATGCTGTACGTTGCTGCCAAAGAAATGAAAAATACTTAAACCATATACCTTTGGTGGCTCTGTTATACTCTCCAGTCAGGAAAAGGCAGTATTTCATTCCAAAGCTCAGATGAAAATTACTTGTTTACATTTCTTATTCAATTAAGCTCCAGAGGGGAGGGAAAAGACAGGCCCTATGTGCAGCTGTATTCTCAGAACTGACCACTGGGCCTGGCCCTGGCCAACCCATTTATCATAGCAACCAACCCACCTTGTCCTACATGAAGTCAGGCAAAATAAAACTGTCTTCTGCCAGTAGACTTTATAGGAATTATTCTTACTTTGCAAGTACCCCTTAGACAATTTAACAAACGTGGACCGTCTGGGCTTCCCGGGAGGCTCAGTGGTAAAGAACTTGCCTGCCAAAGCAGGAGCCGCAAGTTCAATCCCTGGGGAGATCCTCTGGAGGAGGAAATGGCAACCAACTCCAGGATTCTTGTTGGGATAATCCCATGGACAAAGGAGCCTGGCGGGACACAGTCCGTGGGATTGCAAAGAGTCAAAGAGGACTAAGCACACATATATACGGACCATTTATTTACAAAAAGACACACAATGGAAGTCAGTCCACAGGCCCTGGACTAACGATTTTAGAAGGGGATTGAGACCTCTGTTAGAGGTGTCTGCCTCCATGCTCTCCATCCTCACTTACTCCTCTTGAGATCTTCCCTGTACCCTCCAGCTGTAACATCTCAACATGGGTGCCTTAATGTTACTGAGTTCAAGCTCGTCTGGTTCATCGCACCACAGGCCAATAAATCCAGACGAGCTGTTGGTACAAGGACTAGTGACGTTGTTTGGAAAGCCAGCAGACTGAGCAGATGGTGGATTTGTGTACCAAAGAACCATGCTGCCTGAATTACAATTCAGGCCTCTTTAATCCTAAAAGGGGACGGAGGAAAGTCAAACACTTCCTGGTTCCCATCACCCTGCCGAGGGGGTGTGTTCATTTCCTGCGCCTGCATTCATTCACAGGTGAGCCAGGTCAGGCTGTTTCCTTGGAGCTAAACAAGAGGTATTTTAGCTTCATGCCCAAATCCCCTTCCTGGGAGGCAGGAATCCCAGAGATGGACCATTAGGTGTAATTTGAGATTATAAATAACATCCCTCTAGGGATTAATTTGCGCTAGAATACAAAGGTCCTTTTCTACTACATTAACTATTTTCTTACCTGAGTTTTTGTAGAAGGATGCTAACTTTGCGCTTGCTTCTCCTGTACCCGCATGCTCCACGACCGCCGTTACCCAGGTGGGCAGGGTGAATTCGAAGTTAAGGTCAGCCTCTGAAAGACACAATTAGGGCAGTCACTCGAGTGAATGAAATGGATGAGAGGAAGAAACTACTGGGGCAAATCCAAAATAACGGGTGACACCAGTAAGGCACTTCTACTTGGGGGTCCCGGAGAGCAGACGTGTGACCAGCCTCCTGGGCAGCGGGCTGACCTCAGAGTCCTCCCTCCCGCGCCTTCCAGTGGGCTTTTCGGCCCCCTTCTCCCTTGCTCTTCCAGGAGCGCATTCGGGCGACTTCCAGGGAGTGGGTGGGACCACCGAGCAGCTCCGGGGGCCGGCCGGCCGCCCCGCGGCCTCCCCCAGTCTCGGGCGCCGGAGCCGCCGGGGCGCCGAGCCTTCGGCTTCAGAAAGCCCTCCCCTCACTCTCCTCTCGCCTCCACATCCGCGCCCAGGCCCACAGCAGAGGCCACAGACAGCACCGCCGCCTGTGGAAACTCCGCCCGGGCAGCGTCTCACCTCGCGAGACACAAAAAACCCAGGAAGTCCCGCGACGAGCTCCCTCAGCGCAGTCCACGAAACGCGGCCCAACTCCCGGACTAGGCCCTGGGACAAGCCGTCTACACCACTGCCTGATGCTTCTCCGCCTTTTTTTTTTAAAAAAACTGTGACTTCACAGGGATTTAAATAAAAGACTTGTATCATATGATTATAACACGGTTTAATTTCATTTAAGCATGGCTGGACTCTTACGCCGGCCCGTCTCGGCTGCAAATAGGCAAAATCCCGGGCCACCCCTAACGAGGTCCTCTTTCCCAGAGGCTCCTGGTCGCTCCTCTCCACCCCCGAGCCCGCCTCTTCCTGTGGGCGGGGCTACCGGTCGGCGCTGCCGGGCTCGCGCCACTGCGCACTCGCGGGAGGGCGGTACCACGGCGCGGCGACATGGGGGGGCGCGGAGCAGACGCCGGAAGTAGCGGAGGGACGGGTGCCCCCGAGGGGTACTCAGTGCCGGCCGCCTCCGCCAGAGTCGCGGCCAAAGCCAAGGCCCGAGGGGGTGGGCGTGGCGGCCGCCGGAACACGACGCCCTCCGTTCCCTCTCCTCGCGGAGCGGCGCCGCGTCGCTCGTCTCCATCGGCTGCCATGAGCGAGCGCCTCCGCCCCAGGTGAGTCTGCAGGGCACCCTCTTCCCCTCAGCCCCTCGCCGGGTGTTGTGTCCTGGGGTACACGGAGCCGAGGGAGGTACGACGCGGTGTCCGACCGAGACTGGGCCTTGCGGGTCTCCGTGTGGGTGCCTTGCCGTCCGGGCGGGGAGAGGGGAGGGATGCTCGGCTGACTGGGAACCTGGTCCCCAGGGGCGCCGAAGCGGTGACTCCTCAGGGTCCGGGTCGCCCCTCGACCCCAATTTTTCTCCCCCCGCCCCCCGATCTTTCCCTGTTTGGAATGAAGTCCGGTTGGTCCCGGCGGAAAGAAGGGGGCCCCAAAGCTTCCCTGTCCTAAATTTAGGAAGGTGGGGGGTTGGGAGGAATGGCCGATGTTCGAGAGGAGGCTCTCTGGGATCCTGTGAGGGGACGGCGGGGCGGGGAGCCGGTCTCCCGAAGATCGGGAAGGACTGGGTTTAACTCCGCAGGAAGGAAGGGTTAGGTCAGATCGAAGCCCTTGTGCCCTGCTGGGCCGTCGTGGACGCAGAATGGGCGAGGGCCGAAGTGGTGACCTGTGGCTTCCCTCCTCGGCCGTAGTGTGAACAGCAGGCAGAATTCGAAACAGTTCGGGTGCGGAGCCGTTTGACTCCGAAGGCGGGAGGTAGGGCTGTATTGCGACGCACTTTTCCTCCGAGCCAGGACCCGGGGCTTAACCTAGAGGGTGCTGAGGATTTCTTGATAAGGACTCTGGAGAGTCCGGACCAAGCCGCGATTTTTCTTCTCTTTTTTCTCATTTCTCACCTCTGTGAACAGGTTAGGGAGGAAAAAGTTGGGATTGCACCCCAGAATGGAGAAGTTGGACTATCACTCGGAATTAGAAAAATCCCTCATCGTGGAGTTTGAACTGAAAACTATAGATCACTAAGTCCCTCCCGTCTTTCATTCTTATGATCGGGAAGCAGATTTAGAAAGCTCAGTTGGTTTACCTGGGTCTTTATAGGCCAATATTTTGGCCATCTGATGCAAAGAACCGACTCATTTGAAAAGACCCTTATGGAAAGATTGAAGGAGGGAGGAGCAGGGGACGACAGAGGATGAGATGGCTGGATGACATCACCGACTTGATGGACATGAGTTTGAGTAAACTCCGGGAGTTGGTGATGGACAGGAAGGCCTGGCCGTGCTGCAGTCCTTGGGGTCACAAAGAGTCGGACAGGATTGAGCGACTGAACTGAGCTTCTAGCTTCACTGTTCTCTTCATTTTTTTCTTTTTTCCAAAATAGTCTCAGTGAAGCTGAAGTGAATAAGACGGGGATTGCCTTGGTAAATTATGCTGTAGGGATTTTTTCGTCCCTCTATGTTTTCAGTTATTTCGAATGTAATTGACAGTCTTTCCACGGGGACCTGGCCCTGGAGCATATTAATTCATGAGGTTGAGATTCTGGAAAGCATCTTGGAAGTTCTTTAGGACAATAGTGAAAATCAGGAGTTCTCCAAACTTCTGCATGTTGATTTGGGTCATGTGAGAGGGCCATAAAACCTCTACTTGTATATGAAATAAGAGTGGGCTGAATTTGAAGTTAGGGGCCCAGTGTACCAACTTGCTACTGAGATTAGTCACGAGATCCTCACGTGTAGTAAACCTGATATAACTGCCAGTTTCTTCCTTCCCACACCCAGTTTGTACTTCCAGCCGTCCCTCGGGATGGATGTCTCACATATCTGAAAAAGTCTAAATATTTCTCTGAAAAACATTCCTTTTATTCAGTGCTGTACACAAATACTCAGGATGCGCTTACACTCCTAGCAGATTCCTTTTATCTTGTTCACACAATCTCACATGGTAGCTTCTTTACTGTGAAAGAAGTCACGTGAGTTGGCAGTGCTTTCTCTGCTCCCATGTGTTTTGTAGTACAGTGGATCAGATCCAGCTGTCTTAGCATCTTCAAGTCGGTTCAGATCTATGGCTCTGTTCCCACAATTTTAAGAGGAACGGTTGGTCTATGATGGTGGATTTTCAGACAGGAGGGGTGGGTGTGGGTATGTGCGCCTGTGCTTGCTCAGTTGTGTCCAACTCTTTTCAACCCCATGGACTGTAGCCCACCAGGCTCCTCTGTCTATGGAAGGATGTCCAGGCAAGAATGTCGGAGTAGGTTGCCGTTTCCTTCTCCAGGGGATTTTCTCGACCCAGGGATCAAGCCTGCCCTCTTGCATCTTCTGCATTGGTAGGCGTGTTCTTTACCAGCAAAGCACTGGGGAAGCCCTGTGTGGGAGGGAGGCCCCTACTGCAATTAAAACATCCATTATCTCTTATAAATTGAAGGACTTTTTTTTTTGGTAGGGTGAAATAGTTCTGTCATTTTTTAAATAAAGTTTGAAAACTACTAGTCTGTGTATTCTAGGATTTCTTCTGTGCTCAGTCTCTAGGAGGGGACAGGAGGGTTGGAGAGAAGTGAAGTGATGAAAAGTGATGTATTCTGCCATCCTGAGAAGTAACATGCTAAACAATAATCTGTAACTAAATGGCTAGGGAGAATGTAATTAGTTATAGGGTGCTGCTCAAATTATAACTTGGCCTATGGCATTAATGTTAAATGTTACAATTTGACTGACTGTGTTGAGCGTGAAGCTGTGGTTTTGCAAAATATTCATGATGTTGTTGAAAGAAATGCTTCAAGGATGAATTCTGCAAAGAGCTTAGAAAAAGGAGAATGAAGAACAGGTAGGGCTCATTCTTAATCGAGAACCACCCAACAGAGAGAACTCCCAAAAGGCCAGAGAGATCCTTCTGGTAGCTGGAGACATGAGCTGATTATGAGGCAGGGATATTTCATGTGACTTTCTCAGAGTTTAATTGAAATCTTCAAAACCAGCCCATCCTCTTGACCTTCATCCTCTTGTCACTAGAAAGATAATAACCTTATCTCCCATTATAAATGAGGAAATTGGAAAGTTGCAGTCAGGCCCGTGAGTTTGCTAGCAGTGACTCAGCAGCCCCGGCACAATCATCTGTTGGAACGCCGATAAAAGAGGAGTTGGGGGGCCGTCACCGTCA